TCTCCCCCTCTGGGGCGAAGGCCCGCCCGCAATACCAACCTGAGCACACACTGGAATTATCTGTGGTATAGAGCGTGACGCCATCCGCGCCGATCAGCGCTGACAAGAAACTGAAAAGTTCACCCCTGGCAACTGTCTGGACAGGACCTGGGAGGCCTCCCCAAACTGAAGCAACAAGCTGCATATTATCTGAAATGTCAGAATACTGTGCAATTCCACATCCTACTCTACGGAGCCTGGGATCGGAAGTATCTTCGCCCCCACTCGCGTCCCCGAACAGGCACAGGGGGGCCAACGGAGAGCCCACGCCGAAGCAGTTATCTTCGAAAACCTCGACTCCCTCAGACCACCAATCTGCCTCCTCTTGTGGGGGCGGGACGGCTACCCAGGACTGCGGCAGCAAACCTCGGTGCCAGAAACACGGTTCAAATTCATGCTGTGAATGTGCTCTGGGTGCATACTCGTCTGACACACGATATATATCATGATCTACACACTTAGAACAGCTCCAAATGCGGTGGAAAGAGGTCTCCTGCTCGGCTCGACACCGTGCACAAATCTGGGATATCGGCAACTTGGATTTCTCTGACCTGCGCTCCCGTGGCCATGCTGCTCCCGCTGCTGCCGACAGGAGTAGCCCAGCCAGCTGCTTGCCGTTGGGCCCCTCCTCGAGCTGCCGAAGAAGGGCCCGCAAGGAGAGATTGCAGATCCCTCCTTCCATGCCGCCTCCATCAAAATGCAAGGCCGCCTGCCGCCAAAGCCGCTGCATCACGGCGCCCTCGTACTCCTGCAGGAAGGCCTTCGGCTCGTCCACCTGCTCGAAGCCCGTGAAAGCCTCAGGGTTGAACTGCCAGTTGTGCTGGAGCCCTGATCCATCATCTTGTACTCGCCAATCTGATGGACCCTCTGGCTCCCATCCTTCCTGCAAGAGATAGGTGATAACTGCTGCTTGGGGTCCGCGTATGTGGCGGCTGCGCAGCTGTGGCGGCATGGAACGAAATTCTTGGGCCAAAGATCTCCAAGTTCGCTCGATCCCGCTGCGCATCGCCGGTTGCGAAACCCATGTCCGAACCCACATCTGCAAACACCCCCTCGGCAAACGACAGGCAGGGTCACGCCCTGGTGCACGAAGGTCCAGCAGCGTGGTGACGCACCGCCCTGTGAGCCTAGGGCTAGAGGCGTCGCACAAGAAGGTCCTCATCTGCCGCATGCGATGTCCAAACGCGCCGTGAACTTGATGTGCGTACGCTCCTGCCGCTGCCGCTCCTTGCTGCTCCAGCCTAGCTGTAAGCCGATAACGACGCGCTGTACGCACATACTTCACAACCTTCGCGTGCATCTTCTGATGGCGAGCTGCCCGCACCGTCTTGGCGGCGCGAACGTGGCGCCGACCCCCGCCGACGTCAACTCCTAGATATGGGGTCTGCGCCGCTGCCGTCACAGAAAAGCCCGCCACCTTGAGCCTCCTCACAACCTCCTTGGCGTCCGCAAGCTTGGTGCACACCACCACGCTTTTCGGGGAGATCTTGAGGCCGTCGTGTTGCATCATCTGGCAGGTCTCCTTCAAACATGCCACTAGCCTATCACGAACTGCTCGTCGTGACCCTTTGGATACCTGACTCAAATCGTCGATCCACAACCGATGTGAAAGATGCACGTGAGTTGTGGTAATTTTCTGCATGATAAAAAATGTGACCACCTTGGCGAAACGAGTGCCTGATCGGAGGCCTTGGACCACCGAGCTCGCGGGGCAGAAAGCCTCCGAGTAGGCTCCTGCCTGTCGGAGGCACCGCGCCGACATGCACTGCAGCAGCTCCAGCCCCAGCACCTCGGCTGGGAATTCCAGCCGCAGTGCCGCCTCGCCGAGCCGCAGCCACCCGATCGTGTCGTAGTAGCTGGCGATGTCCAGCAGACCGTGGCCATGGGCCACGCCCAGCCTCGCAGCCAGCTGCTCGTCCACCACTCGGATGAACGCCTCCTGCAGCGCCGCGTTGCCGCGTATCGCGGCGTCCCACGGTGCCTCGCAGTCGTCTGACCACGAGCGCACCCACGGTTCTCTAGTCATGGACCAGAGCCGCGCTATGTGGGGCAGCAGTCCGATGACCCTGTCGCCAGCGATCTTCTTCGGCAACAAGGTGCCGATCGTCAACAGCAGCTGATGCGGCCAAGCCTGGCAACTTTCACAAGCTGCCAGGATCGCCGCAAGCTCCTCGAGCGCCGCGTCGGGAAGCCGATCGGTGTCCAGCGCCGTGAGACGATCGACGCCCATGGCCGACGTCTGCTTCATCTGTCGACCTGCGGCTCGAAGCATCTCGCCAGACAGGGGAGGTAGAGGTTCATCTGCGACGCGTGCACGAATGTCCGCGAACAGCTTGTGAAGCCCATCCAGCTGCTGACCCTCTGGGGCCCATAACTCCTGGAACTTGCCACTCTTGCGATCCATGATGTCTCGCGGGTGCTGTATGGCCTTATCTCCGTCTACATACTCATGTGGAATCTGCGGCGACTCCCTGATAGCACGATGAAGGGCCGATACTGCATTCTGAGACTCTGTCCATTCTCGAAACTCGGCGATCGACTGGTTGACTGCTCGTCGCTGGCTTCTCTGAGAAACTCGTTCACTAAACTTGACTGCCTCCGACAACTCCTGCTCGCTCAAGGATGCCACCGACGACAGCAGCTGTACCCAAGCGCTCCAAGAAATGCCGTCCTTAGGCCGAATGACCTGATGCCCCTGCTCAGGAGCTTCTTGACTCAACTTGTCACACGTGGCTAACAACATCTGCTGCTGCTTGGCCCCGTTATTCTTCGCTCTATGCTTGGAATATGTATCCAGAACCACATGGGCTCTGGTCCACCATCCACTGATGCGATCCCGCAGCGGCGTCAATCTGGCTGGCGTCGCCTCTAAGACCGTGTCTGTACGAAACTTGGCCCCCTCTGCTCGAGAACGCCCAAGATTGGCCTGGCCGTGGTGCGAGGCGAAAAGGGCCTCCACCGTGCGTACCCACGCACTGAAAAGACTGCTGATGTTATCACAATGGTTGGAGCCAAGGGAATGTGCTACGGAGCGAGCAACAGCAGGTGCAGGCGGGTAAGTACCCGACGATATGAAGCCGACGTTTTTCCCTCGATTTAGCGTCGATGCGCAAGAGCCGACAAGGTGCCATGCTATAGGCGGCTCCCATGAGTTGGCACCGAAGCGTGCGCGAGGACCGTGCAGGAGGGCACGTCTTCGAGCGCATCGCCAGCAGCCGCCTGGCGCCACGGGCGGGCGCGGGGCTGGCCTGGCCAACGGGCGCTCGCCAGATCGGTGCCCGCGGGCGACTGCGGCAGTGAGGTCTGAAAGCAGCGTGTAGCGGCCAGCGGCGTGCCTTGACAACAATAGCAACGATCGCAATGATAATAACGATGACGATCACAACGGTCACAATGATCAATGCTTTCCTCCTGTACCCAGTGAGAGTACGTGACACGGGACGGAAAAAAAGGGTCGCCGAGGGCCTTGCGGACCCCTGGTGTGAATTCGCTGGCTAAGCTTGCTCGAGCTTCCTCTTTGTGATCGTTATCGTTGTGATCGTGAGCAGGACAGCATACGGCAGGATTCGCGTCGTGTCGACCGGCGGCGGCCCCGCCGCGGGCCTTCAAGGTCGAACGCCGCCAGTGGCCCAGAATCGGCCTGAGTACACGGAACGATTGGGCGAGCGGAAAGTCGCCGATCGTTCAAGGTTGAACGATCGACGCGGCGTCAGAAACCAACGCCAGGGTCGTCACGACACGAACCTGCCGTACAGTCAACCCGCATAGCAAGGACGAGCGATTTTCTAAGGTTGCCCTTGCATGCAGCCTTGCCCTTTCGGCCCATCCTCCGTGTCGACCGCCTTTCGCGGGCCAGCCTGCCTCGTTCGAAAAACGTCAACATGGGCCTCCAGGGCCCTTGCATCCTCACCGCGCGTCCTTTTTATACGGGTTGACTGTAGTCCTCCGCCATCCTTGGCGGACTGGGACGGAAAGAAATTTCGCGGCACCGCTCCGAGCAGCGAGCCCAAGAGACGAACACCGGTGTCGTGGGCAACCGCTGCCCAGCCAGCCACGCTGAAGGTGGGGAATTCTGCGTCGAAGCAGGCTCGATCGGTGAACACGTGCCCGCCGTTTGGCATGAGGCTGGTCGACGGCCAGCGCTCCGCCCGGAGCTCGGCGCCGGGCGGCAGTGGCGGCCGCCGACGCACGGTGCCAGGTCAGGGAAGAGCACCTGTGGTGCAGAACGTTTCCCGGCCTCCCCCGCGCCCTCCAGCACTCGAATGGCAGCTTCGCGCACCGCGGGGTCCAGATGGTCTGCCCTCCAGGCGTGGTGCGCTGGGCAGTGGAAGAAATCTATGGTGCAAGGTGCCAGGGCCAGCCGCAGCAGTACTGGCAGAGGCCAAACGGCCCCAGCGACAGCCCTTCCCAGCAGAGGTGGGCATGGCACCAAGGCGTGCCGCAACGCACGCCTCGCTGAGCCAGCTGCGCTCAGCGGGAGGGTGCAGCAGCTCGTTGAAGGGGCCGCCGGAAGACGGGGGCCAACCAGCTGCGGCGGCCAGGCCTGACCAAGCGGCCCACAGCGTGAATGTCCGAGGCCTGCCGGGCTGCTTCCTGCACCCTGAGGCGGAGGAAGGCATGCGAAATCTCTTGGAGGTCCCAGCGTTGGAATGGGGATGAGGAGGAGGAGGAGGAGGAGGAGGTAGAGGAGGAGGAGGAGGAGCAGGAGGAGAAGGAGTAAGAGGAGGAAGGAGAGGACACAGGTGAGTGAAGACGAAACGTCTGGAGGAAGTGGCGAGCAGGCGCAGAGAAAGAGGATCAGATGACATATGGCAGATATAGTGCCACTGAGGGGGACGAGCATGATGAGGAGGAGGATAAGGAGGATGGACGAACATTAAGATGAGGAAAATGAGGGACGACATGAGAAGGGGAAGACACGCTAATGAGGAGGAGGAGGAGGAGGAGGAAGAAGAAGAGGCGAGCCTGTGAAGGTGGTAGAACGGAATAAGGCAGTGGTCGCCAAGGGGACTGAGTTTCGCTACTACGACTACTCCGCGCTGGAGAGGCTCGGATGCATTTTTTTTCTTGCGGGGGTGACTGGTGCTCATCCAGCTTCGTTCTACATCAATTCCCCCCGTACCTCGCAATGCTCTTTTCTCCAACCTCCCATCCTGTTTCCCATCATCCCCCCCGCCCCATCATCCCCAGCCTCCCCATCTCTTTTTCTCTCTCGCTCCCTTTTTCTTTCTCAATTCCCTGCTTGACGTTTGCTTGCAAGTCTGGGAGGGTGGGACCCCCGCCCCTTCCGAAGCGGGACCCTCTGGAGCCGTGGCCATGGAGGCCCGTTGGACGCCCCGGCAGAAGGTCCCCTGGGCCGTCTGGGACTCTGCATGCCGGGCGTAGGTCGTGGCTCAAGAGTGAAGTCGGGCGTATCCCTCTACAGGGGGAATATTCAAAAATTCTCCAAAATGGTATGGGGACCATTTTTTCAAACTCTTGTTGGCTATTGTTGAGCATTTTTCTGTAATGTTTCTTTTCGTCGAAAATCTGCCTGTCGGAGGACACGCCCGACCTAACTCAAGAGACGGAGGTCAGCGCAAAAAGGTGGTCAGTCAGAGCGCCGGATCTGGCAGGATCCTGCAGGGCCAGGGGTGCATTGACCTGGGCTTGGGTGCAGGATCCTGCGGGATCCTGCAGGATCTTGCAGGATCCTGCGAGGCCTGACTGAACCAGGCTTGGATTGACCAGGGTCAGTAGATCCCTGGCTAGGCAACGGACCCAGTATGGTCAGGAGGGCGGCCGAATGGCCCCGCGAGAGCCCCAAGAGGCCCCAGACACCCACCAGACGCCCGAAGACGACCCAAAGAAGACCCCCAAGAGATTTTCGAGAAACGCAGAAACATATTGATTTCCAACGGGTTTTTGTGTGATTATGGGGCTGCTCTGTTCTTCGGTCTTCCAGGCGTCCGAGACCGCCCAGGAGGCCCGAACATCGCTCCAAAATTACCCGAACGGGCGTCCAGGCAGTCCAAGAGAGCCCCAAGACGGCCCAACATGCCCCCAAGATGGTCCGGAGAGAGCCTCGGCAACGGCCCAAGACGGCCCTAAGACGCCCACGAAGCATTCCAAATCGTGGCTTTGTCGTTTAGGTAGGCCGCGATTGGAAGCAGGGTGGCCTGAGGAGGCCCCTGGAGGCCCCCAGAAGGAGCCCACGAGGCGTCCAGAAGGCCTAAGAAGCTCTGAATCACTTTCGTGATGCCCCCAAGAAGCTCTCCCAGCAGAAGCCTCCGCAAAACGTGCTGAGAAGGATAGGGCAAAATTAGCAGGCCAAGGAGAGAATGGGGAAGAGGAGGAGGAAACATGAGGGAAGGATGATGCATGTCATGTTTATAACGACGATGTCGGAAACCATAAGGCAACAACGAGTGTGTTGTCTGTTGTATTGCTCTTCCGCCTGCATGCCAAAGCAGGACGAAGGTGCATGGCGCGAAGCGCCAGTGCAGTCTCGCATTTATATATATATATATATATATATATATACACACACACCGGAGAAAAGCTGTTCTCCGGTCTTCTTCTGAAAAGCCCCAATCGAAGTCTTTTTAGGGCTACAGGGCGATGGGGCTATAGGGCTATGGAACTATAGGGATATAGGGCCATATGGCTATGGGTCTGTAGGGCTATAAGGCTATAGGGCCTTGGGGCTATAGGGCTTTAGGGCTATAGTGTTATGGGGCTCTGGAGCTGTGGGGCTATAGGGCTATAGGGCTATGAGTCTATAGGGCTATGAGGCTATAGGACTATATGATCAAGAGGCTATGGGGATATGGGGCTATAGGGCTGTAGGACTATAGACACATAGAGCTATAGGGCTAGAGTGCTGTGAGGCAACAGGGCTATAAGGCTATAGGGCTATAGGGTTATAGGGCTATTGGGCTACAGGGCTATTGGAAGTTGGGGGGTGAGCTCGCAGTGGAACGGAGACCCCCAATCGGGAAATCGTTTCGTTTCGTTCGTGTCGTGCGTGAGGGCGAGGCGAACTTGCGTGGGCGCGCGAGAGGACTGAACCCGCCGTTGCTAGGGCGAAGTCAAGACAAATGTTGCTCCCCCGTCCGTCCGTTCGTTCGTCCGTCCGTCCGTCCGGCGGTGGCTCACGGTGCCCCGCAGTGTCCCGTGGTGTCCCGTGGTTTCCCGTGGTGTCCGCCGTTGCTAGGGCGAAGTCAAGACAAATGATTCTCCCCCGCCCGCCCGTCCGTCTGTCCGTCTGGCGGTGGCTCGCGGTGTCCCGCGGTGTCCCGTGGTGTCCCGTGGTGTTCCGTTGAGTGAGATCGATAGTGAGATCGATATTGAGATCGACACTGAAATCGACGTGGTGGCCCGAGGTGTCCCGTGGTGTCCCAAAAAGTGAGATCGATAGTGAGATCTATAGTGAGATCGACAGGTGTCCCGTGGTGTCCTGTTGTGTCCCGTGGTGTCCCGTTGAATGAGATCGATAGTGACGATGTTGAGATCGATACTGAGATCGATGTGGTACCCCGAGGTGTCCCGTGGTGTCCCGTGGTGTCCCAAGAAGTGAGATCGATAGTGAGATCGACAGGTGTCCCGCGGTGTCCCGTTGAGTGTGATCGATAGTGAGATCGATAGTGAGATCGATAGTGAGGTCGATGTGGTGTCCCAAGGTGTCCCGTGGTGTCCCGTGATGTCGTATGGTGTCCCGTTGAGTGAGATCGATAGTGAGATCGATAGTGAGACCGATAGTGAGATCGAGAGGTGTCCCGTGGTGTCCCGTGGTGTCCCGTGGTGGCCCGTGGTGTCCCGTGGTGTCCCGTTGAGTGAGATCGATAGTGAGATCGACAAGTGTCCCGTGGTGTCCCGTGGTATCCCGTTAAGTGAGATCCATAGTGAGATCGATAATGAGATCGACAAGTATCCCGTGGTGTCCCGTGGTGTCCCGTGGTGTCCCGTTGAGTGAGATCGATAGTGAGATCGATTGCCTCAGATGTTGGTTCCCCCCCACAACCTCCTTATCACCCGATGGGTGGTCGTACAGGTAGGGACATAGGGCTACGGGGCTATTGGGCTATTCGGCTATCGGGCTCTAGGGCTATCGGGCTCTAGGGCTATAGCTATAGAACTGTAGGGCTTTAGAGCTATAGGGCTACAGGCTACAGGGCTATGAGGCTATAAGACTATAGGGCTAAAGGGCTATAGGGATTGGCCTATAGGGCTATTAGGCTATTAGGCTATGGGGCTATAGGGCTGCAGGGCTACAGGGCTATACGGGCTCCCCGGCACCCGGGCACCCGGGCAGCCCGCGGAAATCGATGACACACCTCACCTAATTATATGATACCCGAGAAAAACTCAATCGCATTCTTTTTAGGGGTATAGGGCGATGGGGCTATTGGGCTATAGGGCGATGGGGCTATGGGGCTATAGGGCTATGGAACGATAGGGATATAAAGCTATAGGGCTATAGGTCTATAGGGCCGTAGGGCTTCAGGGCTTAGGGCCATAGGGTTGTAGGGCTATAGGGCTATGGGGCTATGGACTCTTGGCCTATGGGTGTATAGGGCTATATGGCCATAGGGCTATGAGTATATAGGGCCATGTGGCTGTAGGGCTACGAGGCGATAAGGCTATAGGGCTATTAGGCTATAGGGCTACAGGGCGATGTGGCTATAGGACTGTTGGGCTGTAGGGCTATAGGACTTTAGGGTTATAGGGCTATAGCGCTATAGGGCTTTAGGGCGGTAGGGCTATAGGGCAAAAAGGCTATAAGGCTGTAGGGCTATAGTGATGTAGGGCTATTGGGCTATAGGGCTATTGGGCTACGGAGCTACAGAGCTATAATGCTATGTGGCTATAGGGCCTTAGGGCCTTAGGGCTATATGGCTATAAGGCACCGGGGCACCCAGGCACCTGGGCACCCGGGCACCCGGGCACCCGGACGGGCCGCGGAAGTCGGTGACACACCTCAATTAACCATATGATGCTGGAGGACAACCCGAATCCGATGTTAGTTTAGGGTTATAGTGGTATGGGACTATAGGGCTATAGGGCTATAAAGGCTCTGGGGCTATAGGCCTATAGTGCTATTTTGCTATAGGGCTATAGGGCTGTAGGGCTATAGGGCTATCGGGCTATATGGCCATAGGGCTATAAGGCTATAGGGCTATGGGGCTATAGAGCTTTATGGCTATAGGGCTATAGAGTTATTGGGCTGTGGGGCTATAGGTCTATCAGGGCTATAGGGCTATAGGGCCATAGGGCTATAGGGTTATTGGCCTATAGGGCTATACGGCTATACGGCTATAAGACTATAGGGCTATAGGGCTATAGGGCTACCGGGCACCTGGGCACCCAGGCACCTAGGCACTCGGGCGTGTCGCCGAAAATGGCGCCACAGCTGACCTAATCATATGAATCCGCTAGGACCCCTACAGAGGCAAGCTCTGATTTGGAAATGAATCCGCTAGGACCCCTAGAGAGGCAAGCTCGGATTGGGGAATGAATCCGCTAGGACCCCTACAGAGGCAAGCCCTGATTGGGATCTATGTATATGTATATATGTGCGTGTGTGTGTGTGTGTGTGTGTGTGTGTGTGTGTGTGTGTGTGTGTGTGTGTGTGTGTGTGTGTGTGTGTGTGTGTGTGTGTGTGTGTGTGTGTGTGTGTTGTGTGTGTGTGTGTGTGTGTGTGTGTGTGTGTGTGTGTGTGTGTGTGTGTGTGTGTGTGTGTGTGTGTGTGTGTGTGTGTGTGTGTGTGTGTGTGTGTGTGTGTGTGTGTGTGTGTGTGTGTGTGTGTGTGTGTGTTTCTCTCTCTCTCTCTCTCTCTTTCTCTCTCTCTTTCCGTTTCTCACTCTCTATCTACATGTGTTTATTCATATTGCACGTGCTTGCCCAGTCTCATACAACAAGCCACGGGCAACCGATAGGGGTTGACAAGCTACGAGGTACCGCTCTGGGCATGAACGCCGACGGTTAGAGCAAATTCGGATCACTGGTTTGGGAACCAACACCGTATTCGTTATTCTCCAGATACGCTTGCCTTATAGGAGTCCTAGCTCAAACCCTACTAATTGGTCCGTTGCCCCCCTAGTTCCTATGCCCCCCCTAATTCCTATGCCTATGCCTATGCCTATGCCTATGCCTATGCCTATGCCTCCCCGCTAACTCCTACTCCTATGCCTGCTTGCTTACTAGCTTGCTTGCTTGCACGCCTGCGCGCTTGCTTGCTTGCGCGCTTGCTTGCACGCTTGCTTGCTTGCTTGCTCAGTTGCGGATTCCAACCACGCTTGATCCTCAGATTCCTTGATTAGAGTCGTCTAATCTATTTGGAGTCAACGCTTGCTGATATATGAGTAAATGTAAAACAGTATTGAGTTCCATCTTGGGGCCACCTGGGAGCCCTCGGGGCCGAGGGCTCGAAATGTCAGTTCGGGTTCCCCATCTGGGCCTCCTCTTGTGGCCGTCTTTGGGCCGTCTTGGACGCCTCTTTTTCCCCTTGGGGCCTTCTTGGGGGCCTCTGGGGCCGTCTTGGGGCGATCTTGGGGGCCTCTTGGGCCCTCTAGGCTCGTGTTGTTTTTTTGGGGGGGGGGCCCGAGAAAGTTATGCGAGAAGATGTGCCGGATCCCCGACACGACGCGGCAAGCTCCAGGAGATTTGAGAATTGGGGTTCCGGGCGCCTTAAGAATCTTCAGGATGACGGGCTGAGGCTACGCAAAGGACTTGAGGACGTGCCCACTCGATGCCCAGAGGCACGATTAGGGATCTCTCTCTCTCTATATATATATATATACATACAGATGTGTATATATGTATATATATACATACATACATATGTATACATATGTGTATATACGTTTCAGTCTGCCACATATGGTTATAAACGCTTGCCCATGCATTAGCAAACATACATACATTTACATCTAACAATGCGTGTGTATGTACACATAATATATATATATATATATATATATATAGGGATCGCGATAGACAGAGCTACGCTAATCCATAATGGTACACCGATGTGTGTCCACTCGTGATTTGCATTGTGTGTCCAATGTTCAGCAAAGATGACGGCACCCCTCAGCCTCCCGATCTCCCGAAAGGTGGTCTATGAGGCACATTGTTCTATATCGAAGACGCGTCCGGATAATCTCGACCGCCCATTGCCTTTCTTGAAACGCCGACGAGGCCAATCGTTTGGCCGAAGTTTGGCTTCGGTTTTCGTCCTGGTTGGGGCCGGTCGACTGGGGCCGGGGTGTTTATGAATAGGGGTCAGTGATACGTCTTTTTGGGAGGGAGAGAATGAAGAAGAATACGCCTTCAAACATACACACCTGCGCCGGATGGCTGGTGGAAACCGATTGCAGTCGTAACTGACATTTAAATGCAAATTCCTCGCCCCCCGAAGCCCTTTCATCACCCGATTGGTGGTTTATGGGGTTCAGGTTGGAATCGAGTATTCATTTCTCAGGGTCATCGATGATAAGCAAGCGATTCTCACGATGGGGAAGAGGAGGAGGAAGCGGAGACGGAGAGGGAACGTTTGCCTTTCAGCGCCTTCGGAGCAGAAGCCGTTGCCCTCGGCCTCGAGGGAAGTGGCCCACCTTCCATGCATATAGAGTTCGAGCTGTGGTCCAGACTGCCTGAGCCGCACCAGAGAAAGAACGAGGAGGAGGCGGGGAAGGCGAGGCAGTACGAGGTGGACGGGGGCAGGAGGCATGGACGAAACCGACGCTATGGCCCGAAGGTCCGTGAGCGAGATTTCGGCCAGCCTCGACGAGGTCGGCGTGCACGGCGCCGACAAGGCGTTCCACGAACTGCGGCCAAGGGCCTACCGTACTGATCTGTGGCGCTACATGGCCCGCTGGGGCGGCTAAGACGCAAGCGTGCGAGAAGTTTCGGCGACTCCTTTCCTAGAGTTTGATCGTTACCCTGTGTTTCTCCGTAAGCGTGGGGGGTACCCCCACGACGGGGGTCAACCTCGCCTCGTCGTCGCGCCGCGACGGGGGTCGGAGCGCCTTCAGCGTGCGGTGGCTGCCCGCGACGGGGGTCGATGTGGGACTGTCGGCGGGGGTGACGCCCCCCCGACGCTGTTTAATAAACTCGGAGCACCCACCGCACAGGTTGGGGTTGTCAGGTTCGAAAGCATGAGCTCCCTCGCACACCCCGCCCACCGCGACCGCCGGGCCCAGGGTGTGTCGGTGCTCCCAGGGTGTTCCGCCTCGCGTCTTCGACGAATGACGATTGCTCACGGCAGGTTCGCGTCGTGTCGACCGGCGGCGACCCCGCCGCCAGCGTTCAACGTTGAACGCTGGCGGCGGCCCAGAATCTGTCTATGTTGCAAGATCTCGACGTTTCGGGAACGGATGATCGGTCAAGGTTGAACTCCTGCGGTGTCGGGAACCAACGCCGGGGTGGACACGACACGAACCTGCCGTACTGCGGCCGTCAGGCCTGAAGCCTGCCCTCCCTGGCGATTCCCTGGGAGCAAATGATGTCTGATGTTCTTGGTGCTTCCTGGCGGTGGTGGGGAGGTCTGGGGCCCTGGGCAGTCTTGCCCAGGCTGCGCCCGTCGAAAAAAGGCCGCCCCGGGAGTCCAGAGGTGTCACGGAGGCGCGAGCGGCCAGTCGAGGCTTGAGGCATGGCGGGGATACTGATGACTAGTCTGAGTCTCGGGCCGGGCGACAGGGGGGGGATTGGGAAAGGGGGGGGTACGAAATTTGCTGCATGCAGCTGGTTTCGGCTTCACCGAGGGGCCCATTCCTCGATACACGGCCGCCTCCGGCGCCGGGAGGCGCCGGGAGAATCAGCTACGTGAGCTGATGCTCAAGCCCCCCCTTTGCTATCCCCCCCTTTCGCCCGGCCCGAGAGTCGCAGGCCGTTTTTCTCGCCAACCCTCGGCTCTCCGATGAGACCAGAGAGTCGCGCAGAGAAGGAGGGAGCCCCTGGGATGCACCACGAGGGGGCTGATCGGACGCACCACCATCGAGGATGGACGGCCCCACATCGTACATCCCAGGGTTGGGCTCAAAATTTCTGGTCCGTTCGAAAACCCCACGAAGTCTTGGACAAGTGGTCGACATATCCCCTGTTAGGTAGCAGGGTCCTCCTCCTCCTCCTCCTCCTTCTCCTCTGCTCTCCATGATTCCCCTCCCTCTTTCTGGGCCAAGGGTGGCCCCCTCGTCGCTGTCACTGGACGCCCTCCTCCAGCTTTTCTGGGGCTTCGGTCGGGACCGTCGTCGCCATCACAGGACACGGCTTGGGCCCTGAATCAGGGTGGTGCCCTGGAGCGGTCTGAGGGTCAGGCTGAAACAGATTCTGGGTGGGAGGTTCTACTCTTCCTCTTCGCCCGATGGCCAACTGCCCCCTCCCCCCCCGCCATTGTCACTGCTAACGTTTCGCGTGTGCCTGTTAGATGCTGTCGGCCCTGAGCAGCAGGTCGACCCTGCCAAATCATGGGTACCCTTGCGTCCTGCAAGGGTTGCGTCCTGTGTCTCGCACATTCCTATGGCAATGTGGCCCTCGGAAGGGTCTTGTGTCCTCTCGCGTGCCTTGTCCAATCAAGTCCGACTGTGCGATGTGCGTTCTACGCCGTGAGCACATTGCGGGATTTGATCGCCGGGCCTCGGAATTCCTTTTTGAAAGTCCTCCCGCACAGGCATCTTTCCCACGCACATCCCCCTCCTTCCTCCCTCCGCCCTTCCCCTCTCCTCCGCCCAAGCACTCCTTTTCATACTGCGTCAGGTGTTTCACCTTTGCCGCCTCAAGCGCTGCTCGTCGTGGCAGGCCTGCTTATAGCTTCGCCGTCCCCAGAAGTGGGGCGTGACGGTTTCGGGCGTCAGATCGGACCGGAGGAGGAGGAGGAGGAGGAGGAGGAGGAGGAGGAGGAGGAGGAGGAGGAGGGAGGAGGAGGAGGGAGGAGGGAAGAGAGAGGAGGAGGGAGGAGGGAGGAGGGAGGAGGAGGGAGGGGGCAGCAGGGAAAAGCCGGACGACACCCAGGTCCTTTGGCAGAACGGCGGCATCTACATCGACGCGAAGATGACGTTTCGGGCGCCCGTGTCCGCCTGGGTGGATCAGGCAATCCGGAGCAACCTTAGGAGGGGATAGGCTCGGGTTGGGTGGGCGTGCCGACCCCGCAGACGCTCCTTTGTAGACAAAGCGGGCCCGACAGTCCCATCCCGCCCAGGATTCGCCATCGGGGGCCTACCGCGGATCTATAACAGTAGTGTATAGATCGCCGATGCCAGTTCGATGTTCTCCCCCCCCTCTTGAGCTGGTCCCCGCCCTAATGTTGCCCGTGATCAGGCAAATGATTCCTTTGTTGCCTGCTACGATCTTCCAGATGACGGCGTCTACTGGACTGCCATGCTGGCAGCGCGCAAGCACAACCCCACCCTGTTGGCGATCATTGAGCGGATGATTTCGAACGCCCAGGATCTCGATTGGGCCTTGAGCAAACCGTCCTCGCCCTGGAAGAAGGGTATTAGCATGGTGGGAGCTGATCCTGTGAGGGTGAGGAAAGGGTGGGGAAACGGGAAGGGAGGGAAGGAGGAGGAGGAGAAGGAATCTGCAGACGACGAACGACGAGGAGGAACGAGTAGGAGCGAGAGAGAGGAGGACCAGAAGGAGCAGGACAGACAGCACAACAATAATGAACAGGCAGAGGAGGGAGGACAGCGAAGGGGGAAGAAAGGAGAGGACGAGGAGGAGGAACACCATCACAATATGACTCGGGGAGGGACGGGGAAGAGGGAGCAGGAGGAGAGGAGTATGAGGGGGAGGGATGCTGGAATGGGGGCAAGGGAGGGTGCGATGCCTGACGACAGGACGACGAGAAAGTGGGGACGAGGGCAGAGGGCGAGGGGCAGCAGTGCCCATCGGTCGTTGAAAGTAGGTCTTTGGATTCCCAGATGCCAATCTACTTTAAGCGCCATCCTATTTCAATGATCGAGTGGCTTCACCTTTTCCTTCCTCTTTAGGGGACGGACGGACACCCAATCTTTTTTCAACGCTTTCCTACTTCGTGTTTCTACCTGCTTCTTCCGACCGATAGGTCGGGGTGCCCGTGCGAGTCCTGCCGCAGCAGCAGGCACGACGGCCTCGGGGACTTCTGAGCCAGCTTCCACCAGTTCAGGGGCAACGCTAGTCAGGCGATCGCAAATATTGATCAAGGGGGCGTGGATTAGCGACTGATTTCCGCCGCCGAGCGAGGCGGCACTGGCCGCATTGTGGGGAGGGCACCTCCCCCGATCCATGGATTTGGCGACCGCACGCCAAATCCCTGGATCGCTAATCCATGTTTGCGCGCCCCCGACTTTGAGCCAACTTTCACCAGTTCAGGGGCCACGTTAGGGGGGATAGGTTCGAGGTTCGAGGTCTTCGTGCGTTTTCATTGGGTCTTCGCCGGTTTTCCAGCCTCGCCATGCCCTCCAGCAGCTGCGCCTCGGCGAGGGCGTTCCGGGGGGGGGCCCAGATCGCCCCGAACGGCCCTCGGCGAGCCAGGCTATGGCCCGAAAACCACCGGGGGCATCGCTAGGTGGGGATGAGCTCAGGTGGGGACGCATCGACCTCCAATCGCTCATTCACAGCCGATGGGGGGCCTGACAGCCCACCCGTGCCCAGGCACGTGCGGATGTGCTGTCGAGGGCCTATCGGAGAGTAATGCATCGCGGATGCATGCTCGGTGTTTCCCCCCTGCGTCGGTCCCCCCTAGCGTTGCCCCTCGCTGGCGGAGCAGTGGGTTGGCTTGGCGAAGAAGACACAACGCGGCATGTCTCCACATTGCACACAGATCGTATCGCTATTTCGTTTTGGCGGATGGCATTCCATGCGGAGGCCTCCGCATTAGAGCGGGTTCGGTCCGTCGCAGAAGCAAACGGTAGCGACGCACGGAGCCGGCTCCATTGGGGTGTTCGCGATCAGCCGCGCACATGCTTCAATATCTAAGTTTCCTTTCCTCTCTTTCTGTCACTCTCACGTGCTCGTTTGTGATGATATATTATCTCTCTATATCTGTCGTTGTTCTGGCTTTTTTTTTTCTCTCTCTCTCTCTCTTTCTCTCTCGTTGTTTTGATAATATTTATCTCTATATCTCTCGTTATCTCTCTCTTTCTCTCTCTTTCTCCTTTTCTCTCTATCTCTCTCTCTCTCTTTCTCTCGTTCTCTCTCTCTCTCGCCCTCTCCCTCTCCGCCCCCCTCTCTCTGTGTCTCTCTCTCTCTCTCTCTCTCTCTCTTTATATATATGTATATAAATACACGTGCATGTGTCTCTCTCTCTCTCTCTCTCCTCTGTCCCGCGGGCCTGAATCCGAAAACAGAAGTGGCATGCTTATCACGGGGTGAGGCCCTCGGACTGGGCGTCTCCAGGATTCGCAGCTCGACCTCGCAGCCCGCGACGCGGCAGCAAAAGTTAAGGCGGCAAGGCTCAGCCGTAGGAGACGTGCCTGAGGGAGGGAAGTGGTCTTCGGCCCCAAGGGCAGGGGAGAAGGAGGAAAGGGGAGGAGGAGGAGGAGGAGGACGAGGAGGAGGAAGAGAGGAGCACGAGGAGGACGAGGAGCACGAGGAAGACGAGGACGACGAGGAGGACGAGGAGGACGAGAACGAGGAGGACGAGGAGGAGGAGGAGGAGGAGGAGAAGGAGGAGGTCGCGAACGAGACGGCGGAGGACACAGCGCGACCCATCGCCGCGCTGAGACGAAGGCGAGAGGGCAGCTGCACGTCTCTGAGACTCGGTCATAGCCAAAATGGCGTACGCGGGCTGTGGAGGCTGCCAACACTCCGGCAACATAGTACAACAAACCGGCCGTGAGTAGGGAGGCAGGCCCGGGGGAGGGAGATGAGAGGGCGTGCTGGGGGTGATGAGCTTCGACCGAACGTCGCCCTCGTCTGGCCATCGGCCGGGTGCGGCGCTCGCTCCGAGGCGGGGATGCCTCTCGGCGTGCGTTCCTTTTCCTCCTTCCTCCCCCCCCCCTGGCGGCGCGAGGAGCACTGGTACCCCTCGAACTGGTTGCAGCACAGCGACCTGGAAATCACCGGCCCTGGCGCCCGGGAGGAGGGGCGGCATGGATGGAGGAGAAGAGGAGGAGGGGGACGGGGAGGATCAGCAGCACCACGAATAGCAACGGTCATGGGGCCAGCGGGGCCGGTGTGGCGAGGGGCTTTTGGCGACGATCTTTCTTTCGGGACAGCATCCGATGTGTTTGTATGTAATCCGGGCGAAACCGCCAGGACGATCACCAAAGTTAGCAATATTTCAATGGCACTGGCGAAACAGCCAGGACACACAAACATGAACCACATCTCGAACAACCCGACCGCCGCGGGCGTTCGAAACCACTGTTAGCCTAGCACAATCAAGCGCCAACGAGAAAACAAATTTAGGGAGGAGGAGGAGGAGGAGGAGGAGGAGGAGGAGGAGGAGGAGGAGGAGGAGGAGGAGGGAGGGAGGGGGGGAGGGACGGAGGAGGGGGAGGGGGGGGAGGGAGGGAGGAAGGGGGGGTGATACAAGGATGAAGGGAGGGAAGGATGGAGGAGCAGGAGGAGGAGGCGGAGGAGGAAGAGGAAGAAAAGAAGGGGGGGGACGGGGGCAGGACCACAGTGGCCAGCGACGACCGCAAGCCCGTGGGTGCTCTCCAGCAGTTGCGTGTCGCCGAGAGCATTCTGACTCGACCTTTCCCGAACGACCGCGAGAGGCTCGAGTTATGGCCCCAAAGCCACCTCGGCTCCTCACCTTTCCTGCCTTCCTCCAGTCGCCCCCCCTTCGCGTTCTCGTGGCTCTGGTCGCGGGCCAGCGTTGCCCTCGCCACCTGGCCGCGTCCGCGCGCCGGCGTTGCCAGCGCCATGGGGCGGGCCATGGGGGATGGCGCTGGCGACGCGCGCGGGTGGTTCTGGATGGCCAGCCACCCGTACGCTGTGCTGCGCATGCATGGGGCAGGTTGTTGTTTCTCCCTCCTGCTTCATCCTCCCTCCTCTCTCCTCCCTCTCCCTCCTCCCTCCTCCCTCCCCCTTCTCCTCCTCCTACCCCTCCTCCGCCCCCCTCCTCCTCCTCCTCCTCCTCCTCCTCCTCCTCCTCCTCCTCCTCCTCCTCCTCCTCCTTCTCCACCCACTCCTCCTCTTCCTCCTCACTTTCCCCCTCCAACTTTCCTCCCTGTTCCCTTCGTGGACCCCGCCCCCCTGGCGCAACCAGGCCGCAGCGGCGCGCTCTCGACGCTGCCCCGGTTCGAGTGGCTGCGGCGCACGGTCGCCCAGGCTGGCCTGGGCGCGACCATCCTGGACCGCGCTGGACGGACCTCGCCCCCGGCGGTTCCGCGCTCGGTTCGAGGATCCATTGGGCGGCGAACCTCCTCTATATCTTCCTACATGCCTTCATTCTCCTCGCCCCCTCCTCCTCTCTTTCGCCCCTTCCCCCCCGTTCCGTATTCTCCTCCCCCCCCTTCCTCCCCGCCCTCCTCGCTCCTCCTTCCACCTATGCGCCGGGGCGCAGTCGAGCTGCCATCGAGCCCTGCGCCCTCGCCCCGCGGACGGAGCAGGGCGCCCGGCCGGCTCGGATGAGAAGGGGGCGACGGAGGGGGGAGAGCGCTCGCGTTCGTCGTTGCCGGCCGACGTTCGACGACGCGAGAATCCATTTCCGATTGAGCGAAAAACGCGAGGGCGGGATAGGGCCTGCGTCTCTGAGACGCCAATTGTTCCCGGCGCAATTTTGCGCTGCGCCTCTGGCTTACGACGGCGGCGTAGCCCTCCAGCCTGAGGCCTCGGGCCGCGCGCCCCCCTACCCTTCGGAGCCCAGGAGGGCGGGATCGGGAGTCGAGGGGGCGGGTCTGATGGGTAGGAGGGGGCGATGTGAGCTCCCAAGTTTTTTACTGGCGCACGCGCCAGCGAAGTGCCGCGCCTCGTGCTCCCAGATCCCATCGCGCGCGTGAGATTGGCTGGCAGATGGTGCGACGCTTTCGCGTGGAAGCGTTGGCGTGGCTCTGGAGTTGATGGGGGTCATCGCGAACTGGCCGCCGCCCCAGATGCGCATTCGTCCAACTCGCGCGTCATTCCGCCCCTCGGCCGCGCCGGAGTTTTGCCCTGTATCGCTCGAGCTGCTGGCTGCGAGAATCCGGGCGCGGGTGAGCCGCGCAGGCGCTGTTGCAGCTTTGGGCGAGGCGCGGCGCGAAAACGCGCCCTGCCCCCCCCCCCTCCCCGCCCCCCCTCTTCTCTACGGCGCAAGCGCTGTCGGGGCTTGAACTCCAACCGACCTGACTTGCCAAGGATCGCGCAATGTAAATCTAGTTGTGGGCCCACCCCCTTCCGACCCCCCCATCTGGCGCTGGCGGGGGGGTGGCGATGTCAGGGGGAAGGCGTTAGAGGGAGGAATGAGGAGGAGGGGGGGAGGAGGAGGCGGGGGAGGAGGAGGAGGAGGAGGAGGAGGAGGAGGAGGAGGGGGAGGAGGACGAGGTTGGGCTGGGATGAGGATGAGGAGGAGCAGCACTAGCAGCAGCAGCAGCAGCAGCAGCAGGAAAGGTGTTGATGATGACGGTGGTGATGATGCTTAGTAGTATCGGATTGCGGTCCCCGCGGGCCCACGCATGCGACGAACTCGATGATGGCATGGGCCGTGCTGGCGTCGCTGGGGCCACCGAAGTTGCGCAAATGGGCGGCGCTGTTCAGACACTGGGGGACTGGGCTGCGCCGCTGCGGGGCTGGCTGCCCCTTCCCACGCCGGCGACGGCGAAACCGGACCAGGGCTCCTCGGCGGCGCCAGGTTTGCAGTTAATGCGGAGCGCGCGCTGCACTGCGCACGGTGAATTGATGCAACGAACACCAGCTCAGCTGGGCCTCGCGCTGCCATTGAACGCGCGGCGAGGGCACCGCTGCCAGTGCATAGCGCGCGGCACATTGCTCAACCTCAACTCCGAGACTGGTCAACCCCCAAAGGGCCGGACGCTCAGTCATGGACGTTGCTATAGAATTTGTTTCTCTGGTAGAGAACTGCCTGAGCGAGGCGGCGAGGTAATTGCAGGCCGGCTCGTCACCGAGCGCCGACTGGCTCTGGTTTGAGCGTCATTCAATCAAGCGGGCCAGACTTTTGGACGCACTCGACGCTGCCCGCGCGATCAGGACAGCTGACGCACGGCAGAGTCTGAGAGACTTGGCAGCTGGATCGACGACTGCCCGCCCTGGGGCACGCAGCACCACCAATGCTTTGCGACTGCTGCTCTCTGAGATTTTCCACCGCGTCTACCCCTCGCAGGCATCGGGCCCCCGTGCAACTGATTTGGCGCGCAAGGCTTCTTCGACGCTTCGCTACGCGGCCTTGGGGCCCCCTGCTTGGCCAGAGCCGCGACGACACGCGCCGTCATTTGCACCTGTGACAACGGACCTCGGCGCCGAGGTTGGTCGGCCACGCGCCGCGGGAAATCTTTAGCTCTGCCCCGCCTCGCCCCGCGGCGTCGAGGCGCATGGAACGCGACGGCGCCGGGCGCGAGGGGCCGGGCCGCGAAAGAGGAGGAGGGGGGGCAGGGGGCGGGGGGGGGGGCGCAGCGGGGGGCCCAGAACGCACTGTCCTCGTAAGGCGCCAGACCCTGGAGCATTTGTTTCTTGCTTCGAAGCCCCGCGGGTGGCCCGGGGCCAGCGGCCCGCGACTGGCCGCCCATCGGTCGCGAGACCTAGGGCCCAGGGTTCCTCTTCCAAGGCCTCCGCAGAAATAGAAGTCAGGAGTGCGAGGGGCGAGGGGAATGCACCCCCGCCCATCTGCCCCAGGGGCATCGCGGCCCGCGGACCAGAACCAGCCGCGGCAGTTGCTGTCGACGGAGGGCTCGATCACTCGGACGCGCTGCTCCGCGCGCCCCGGGGAAAACGGCGGAAGGGGGCGATGCGCATTTTCCCATTGCATGCGCGCGCCGATGCATGTAGAGAGATCACAGTACGAGAGCATTCCCTATGTGGCCACGAAGCGCTGTGCTGGGTGTGGCGGGCGCATGCGGGCACCCCCACTGGAGCCTTCGGTGGAGCTCCCCATGGGGCCACGAAGCGCTGCGCTGGGTGTGGCGGGCGCATGCGGGCACCCCCACTGGGGCTCTTGGGCTCGTGGGGCGCGGGTGCGATTGCGTGCGACCTTGTCGGCTTGGCTCCTGTCTGTAACCCGACGCGCGTTTTGTTGTCCCACGCTTCTTTGAACCGCGCGACGGTGCATAGCTATTTCTGTGCGGTTTTGAACAGAAAGCGTTTGTCATTAGACGCGCCCTTTGCTTTCCCACTCTCTTTTGACCCGCCCGATGGTGCATTACTGGTGCATGGCTATTTCCGTGCGGTTTCTTGCAACATCCGCTGTTCCAACACGCCTCTGGCCCAAAACCTCGCCCACTAAGCTTGCCCCACTACTACCGTCGCTAAGCACGAAAGCGCGGACAAGGGACGGAGGAGGAGGAAAAGGAGGAGGAGGAGGAGGAAGAGGAGGAAAAGGCGGAGTAGGATGATGACGAAGAGGGGGAGGACGCATGAGCAGGAGGAGGAAGAGGATGAGGATGAGGATGATGATGAGGCGGAGGAGGAGGAGAAGAGTAGGAGGAGGAGGAGGAGGAGGACCAGTGGAAACACAAGGGTCATCAACGATATTGGGATAAACCCGCCCTCCGAGTTCCCTCGTCATAGGAACTGCCTCGTTGAGTACCAATCGTTTGAAGAGCCTGAAGGGTGCCACAAGATAGTTCTCGGAACTCCAACGCCACGGATCAACCTGATTGTTGCGTTTTGGCGATCCTGAATCGTACAAATATCGGTTCCACCGTCATAATCCGGAATCTGTCCAGCAAACAATGTGTGATCTTGGGTATCCGCGAAACCGTTTCCGTTTTCAGGAAGACTGCGCGCGGCGCTAAGGCGAGAGCCACAGTTGGAAAAGGAACCACCCTAAACCCGTGAACCTCTGGCAAATGATTAGAACGAATATGCGCGGCGTTCAATTTGTGAAACTCTTGCAACGTGTTTGAACGAGTGTGCGCGGCGTTAAGGCGAGAGCTGCATTTTGAAATTTACCCGCCCTCAATCCGTGAAACTATTGCAACTGCTCAATGCGAATATGCGCGGCGCTAAGGCGAGAGCCACATTTTGAAAAGGGGACCGCCCTTAATTCGTGAAACCCGTGCAAATGTTTAATACTTGAAACCGACCCGCCCTCCATCTGTGAAGCTGCCGAACATTTTGAAGTTTCAGGGTCATAGTGGAAAGGGTGTCTCAGGCGATACGCCCGGCCCGCCCTTTCGACCCGCCTCGGGGTGCCCAAGGGGGAAGATATTTAGAAGGACAAGGCTTGGAGGAGGACAGGCAGGAGGAGGAGGAGGAGGAGGAGGAGGAGGAGGAGGAGGAGGAAAAGGAGGAGGAGGAGGAGGAGGAGGAGGAGGAAGAGGAGGACGAGGAGGCAGAGGAGGACGAGGAGGAGGAGGACGAGGAGGAAAAGGAGGATCCTGCGGACGATCTGTATGCACCGTG